ATGTTTAAATTTAATAACAAAGTAACTTGGAATCGCTTCGTTATATTTTGCGAATAACGCATTCGCTTGTAAAAGGAAAATTCCTGTGCAATGTTGTTATCCGAGAGTTAATTGAACACGAAAGCCCATCGTTTCGTTTTTTTTAAGCGAACAATTTAACGATGTACCGATACATTCGTTCTATATTCGTTCCATTGATTCTCACTCTCTCTTTGCGTAGAATTCAAATAACTTGCGATTTCCTTATTATTAACAATATTTCAAAACAAATATAGAAATCATGGATTGAATTTGCTTTACATTTTTACATTACACTTTCATTATGTTTGCTCTCAAGGTTCGGGAAAAATATCAACTTGAGAGAATTTCTCGAGTTGCGAATAAAAATATTGATATTCGTATAAGTTTGCTTGTACGAATATCCGTTGGAGAAAGAAAGAAAGAAAGAGAGGCAAAGTCCGTCTAATTTTTCGTCGACGAACGTGTTTACTACTAAAAAAAAGTCTCACGGACTGGCACAAGGGCAAAAGGAGTTCTTCGCTAGGATCGTTTATCCCCACTTCAGACGCTTTGTTGACAAACCTGACACTACACATTACACAGTATGGAAGAACTGTAATATTGAGAAAGCTGAATATAATATAAAATATTTAAAAATTATTTCGATATAATATTAATATATCTATAGTATATCTTAGCTTATTCATATCTTATACATACAATTATTATCTTAAAAACTTATCTTAATATGAAATTACATACATAAATTAAATTATCGTAACAAATCATAATTAGCTTATACATATTATGAAAAATAAAAGAAATTTTATATCATATCGATACATTACAATATTGTGAATTCTATTGCTATGCTAATGCATCGAGGTTTAGATCCTGATCATCGTTATATTGTCCCTCTTTGTCACAATCTAATTATATGTGACAAATACCATATTAGAAACAAAAATACGTGTGAAAATAGGCAATTTCTCCCACATTAACCAATCAGACCCGCATTCCTTCCACGAGATTTCTTTCCAGTAGTGAATAGTTGCAACGCGCATAGAAAACCGAAACGTTTCGTTTTAAAAGCGTACGCACAGCTTACATGCTAGTATAAATAGGGAACTAAACTGATACGGAAATTGAGATCCGCAAACTATGCAACCACGACTGAGGCATTGATTGCACCGTGCTAGCGCGTTCCGCTTCGCTGCTAACGTTTCAATGAATAAAGTTAACCAATAAAGCATCGAATCGTACAACATCGTTCGCAAGATTGAAGGTATTCGGCCCCTCGCGTTTCGTTGCGTTTCGTTAAAATTAATGCCACGAATCGCTTTTATACTTGCATCGTTGCAATTGCACACATCAAAACCTTCGAACGTATCTAGAATTTGAAATTTCATTACGGATCCTTTTTCTTTCTTTTTTTTTTTTCAACGCTTTCTTCGTTCTACGTTTTAATCTCGTTTTCTCTTTCATAAAGCGATTAAAGGGTATCACCGGAGGAATAATATTCGATTCGTCTCGGTCGATAAAAGATGATCGAGTTAAAGAGAACTTAATCGAAACGACCTTTCTTAAAAACTCGTTGTTTATCTTTGCGATTACGAGTGAGCATGATTATGTAAACTTATATATATATGATATATATGGATATATATATATATATTCCTCCTGGGAAGAAAATCATATGGAAAATGTTCTTTGAAAGAAGCGTGTGAAGAGAACATGGGGGAAAAACGTAGTGAATCGAAGTACATTCAAACGTGCACGTCCTAGGCGTTTTTTATAATGGAATTCCTGGCATCTCTGCACCCGGTTATCAGGTTCACTCGCTACTGAAAGTTTAACGAGGTATGTTGGAATCTGTGTAGCGTTTTTGTCGCACTTTTGTAACATGAATTTTTCCTCTGTTCCAATGAAATTTTCAACGTTAAAGACAAACGAATAAAACCGAAAGAAAATTTAATTCGACCACGTGCTTCTAATTTTATCGATCGAGTCGTTGTATTCCGAAATTACACTTTCTTTCTTTTTTTTTTTTTTTTTTAAATAATTA